CGTGCTTGACCTATTACAACTTTTGTTTACTGGAAGGCTTGCTCTCCAGTTTTGTGTTGCTAAGCGGTATCCAAGCACGTGACCACTAGCTGCAAAGGGCCTATTGTTGGTGTTAAAATTCGTGTTGATTTATAAAAAGACTAAAGTCTGCTGGTCCATCAGCCGCAGCTTCACATCTTTATTAAGTGTTTACTTAAGTTTTATTAAACAAATTATAATATTTGTCAAGATAAAAAATGTCTCAAACGAAAAACAGTCAAAGCAAATCAAAAATTAATACAATTTAGACGATTATTTATAAAAAAGACAATTCCTTTATTATCTTTTTAAAAATGTTTTTCACTGAAACTGAAACGACGTTGAACTCTCAAAAGATAACGTTTATGTAGCGAGAAAAACGAGTCGTTTCAGGTGTTTCAATAAAGGCTATTAATATTTCATTTAGAACAAGTTTAATTGCAATTTGAAGTTGTTTCTCAAGTTTAATTATGGCGGCTTTACTTCAAAGTCATTGAGTAAACAATTAGAGAATATTTGTGTTATTTTTTTGCACCAACAAAACAAATTTATAAAACCTTAAAATAAAATAAAACATAAAATGACCAATTCAAGTTGACTGGGAAAATCAGTGGGGGAAACTAACCGGTGATATTCACGGTCCCTGAATGGAAAGTCAATATAGCATGAAACTCCCCTTTTATATTTTTTATATTCCGCCACTGAATAGGTTTTCCAGAACACTATAATCTTAAGTATAGAGTACTTGATATTACCACCTTCTAATACTTGAATGTACCAGCCTGTTTGGTGGGATTTCTTTATTACAAAGTTCAGTCAAGGTCGTATAACATGGGCAAGTTCCATGTGACTATAAAGAAGAAAAAATATGAGAAGTCTTTCTAATATAGCAACTATGAATACAAACACACACACACACGCATGAAATTATTATTTTTTGAATATATCTTAGGGTTGTTGTTGTTAAGTGACTTCTCGAAATTCGTTCAAGAAGAATCACTTATGAATCGAGGTAGCTGTCAGAACTGAACGTAGTCCAAATATCCTTTCTTTTCAAAGAGATTATAATAAAAATATTTTCGGATATTTTACTGGTTAGTACTGATTCAGTATTATCTCTAGGATGCTGATTATCTTGAAAAGTTAACATTAAATAATAAACTAATTCCCATGAAGTTTATGGCTGGCTGGCTAGGGCGTTTTCTTTAAGTGCGTGTTAACAAGACTTAAAAGATTAGTCAATTGAATTAGCTAGTAAATTAAGACTGAAGTTATATTCCTACTTTATTCAATCAATCACTCTAGTCTGGACACTTGAATATCATTAAATCTTTTAACCAGAGCAAAAGAACAAAAAAACTATGAAAAAAACAAAGCATGGCAAACAAGTAGGGAAGAGATTTACAACGACAAAGAAAGTGAATGACCAAGTCAAATTTACAAGCTTTTATAAATAATTTAATAAAAACGCTTATAAAAGTTAAAATTGAAAAGCCCAGCTTTCTCCAACACAGCTGTTTCACTGCTATGGTATACATTACTCCAAAGAGAATTATGTCTGAAGAAAACTCGAATTAAAAAAATCCAATAAACAAAGCGCTAGCAATGCTAAACGTGTGAAGATGATTCAAATATGGTTATGATTGTTCAAGTGGTGCTTAGACCTAATGTCTTTAGGATGACCCCGAAATTAAGAGTCTGTTTAACACCATCTTATTTAAAAAATTATTATATATATAAAAAAAAGAGGCAAGATATTCTATATTTCAATTATTTGTTTTTCTTTGGAATTACGTTTATCTGAAGGAAGATTTCAACGGACCCACCTGCCTGAAGATAACAATGACAAGAAAAGATTATGTTGGTTCATTGTCTTGCGAAATGCAGGGTTCAAAGAGGTAGATAGTCCATGATTAATTATTTACTAAATATTTTACTGGCTAGTTGGTATTAGCCATTGATTAACAAGCGTTCAACAAAATAATTACCAAAATATTGCGATTTCGAGTGCGATATATATATATATTAAAAAAAAAAAAAAAAAAAAAAAAAAAAAAAAAAAAGAAAAAAACGCCGTGGAGAATTCGTTTTCTTTAGATCTGCGTACAGTTGCCCAAAGAGAAGATCGTAATCCTGAACAACATTTCCATTGAAGCAAAGAGATAAATAATGATTGCATTATGACAATAGCGGAACGCTAGTAATTGTTAATTGCGTGTGCCAACATTTTTTGGAGTTGTTTTCTATTTAATGGCAGCCCTCGCGACGACTTGGCAACACTTTTTCTCTCGAAAGCCTTCGAAGACAAGCAGTTTATGATGTTATTCATCGCATAATCGTGATTAAGTTTAAACGATAAATGGCGACAATCGTTGCCATCAATGTTACATAAAAACAATGACACATTCGTATGGTAAACATTGATTTCAATCGAGAGGATTTGCGATGATTTGAAACGAAATGATTCTGGAAAGTTATAAGGAATAAAAACACCAAAATTTGGCAATGAGTTAAAAGAAATGGATAATAGCTAATCCAGTGATGTAGAAGGATTATCGCCCTAATCCTAATCATGGTTGTTGCGACGTAATAGACCTGTTAACCTGTCTTCAGCTCAACGTTATTTAAATATTATCTCTAGGTGGCCCCTGGAACAATAAATGTTTGTAAAAAGCTTCATAATAATCAATTGGATCTAATAAAATTATATGCAATTCGCTTATCGTCAGCCAATCAGAGGCCTCGAAACTGAAGCGATAAATAGAAACAATTTAAAGCTGGCTTCTGATTGGCTGAAATCCTTCTTTGAATGCAAACACATTTTACTAAACAATTAGCCTTGGACAGTTCATTCCACACATATCCTCAACCTTCAGCCCTGAGAGAACGAAAGAAAACACTTTTAAAGTAATAGGTAAACAATGTCTGTATCCACACTAGAGATGGACAAGAAATGGTCACTCTCTAGCCACCATTCAGACATCAACGAGCGAACATTCTTCGAGAAAAAGGCTAAAAACATGGCTGACGAGTTTCCCGGCGCTGTAAAAATGATAGGCGCGGACTTCACAAACAGGGGTAAGTACTGTAGGGGTCGGAGTAGTTACAAGAAAAGTTAGCAAAACTGTCAGTTGGATGTAAGAAGATTTACCGTTGTAAAATTCATTGGAAAATCAAAACAGTTTTAGTCATTCTTGCCGTGGACGATGCCGATACGGTATACAAACAAACCATCCTCTTATAAAAAGCTAATGAACATTTGGGTTCTTGATACGTAGATTTAACAATACGCTAACTGGATTACTATTTGATCTTAATAACAGAACAGACATCTTTCGATAAAGAATTATTTTTGAATGTAAAGGGGRAAAAAATCCAACATTCTAAGTATGAATAAAAAACTATATTCTATATTTTATATATATATATAAATCTATAACATTTTTTGGTTTGTAGATGAGTCTAGTCATAAGAGGAAACATGAAGATTCAGATGCAAATGATGAACTAAATACGATTAAAAGACGACATCGAACGACGTTTTCCAAAGCACAACTCGACGCGCTCGAAGAAGCTTTCGGAAGATCACAATACCCCGACATCTTTACGAGAGAACAACTCGCAAAAAGAATCAATCTAAATGAAGCACGAGTGCAGGTAATTTAGAGTTTGGAGCTTAAAAGTAGAGGGAAGAAGAGATGTAGTTTTATTTTTAGTGGTGACTTTTACAGACTTGTAGGAAAAATTTTTTTTAGCGATTTTATCCTTTTTGCGTATAAAAACTCGCGCGATATTTACATTTTATTTCCATGTCTAATTCCAAAGGACTGCCACTCTTCTAGATTTTTCTATTTTAATCTTCTGTGGTTAGGTCTTTTTTAGTGCAAATATTCAAAAATTACAGGAAATGTCCCGTGCAGCTCCGTCGCGAGCCGTCGAGCTCCGGTATGCGCATGCGTAGATGATAATGACACCTGTCCGACCCTATATCCACGTGTTTTGTTTAGTAAAACAAAAGCTATTAATTTTCAGTTGTTGAAACCCTTAGCTAAAAAACCTTTGGCTATGAGCACATGTACTCCACGATTTTACTTTGAATTCTCAAAATCTTTCAGTTTGTCTGTATCGCATCGCTTGCTTCTCAGTTTCTGTAACCAGACTTGTGGAAGGGTGCCATACACCCCCATTCAGACACAAAAAGGCTTAAGCTCTATAAAGAAAATCTATGTTTTTCGAGATTCCCTGGTCAGTCTTATCATCTGAGTCATATAAATTGTAATTCATTATTTAAAGAGTAATTGAAAATCCATCAACGACTCAGGAAATTTGACTTTGCAATTGAGCGTAGACAATAATCATAATATTGATTCATTTATACTCCGAACAAGAACAATAAATGGTCAAAATAGAAATGCTAAACTTTTTTGTAGACACATACAATTTTTTTTCAAAATGGACTTTCATTTTCTTTTTCTTTCTCTTTTATTATTTCCGTTCATTTCCCGCTAGAGGAACTGAATCTAATCAACATTGCCGCTTAGTTCAGGACAAATACAGAAAAAACCTTTGTTTCCATAAAACAATTCGAATCCGATAGAATAGAACACAAAATAAACTCGAAGAAAATAGATCCTCTAGTGTTGGACTTATCTTGTTTTAACATCTTTAAGACCATTTGTCAAATAGAGAACAAAAGTTACTCAAATTCGCCATGGCACGCTTACAAATTGTCTACTAATTTAGCTTATCGTCAAAACATAATTTGCTACAACACTAGGAGCATTAATCTATATCTGGCAGTTGGATAATTACGAAAATAAAAGGCCTTAAATAGCAGATTAGTGGAGGAAATTGGTCTGTCTCCGGTTTAGCTTCACTTAATTGCATTTGTTAAATAAAAGCCTTTGAATTTAATTGCTCGAGTTTGATGTCATAAGTGATGATGATATCTCGCTCTGATCGAAGAGGGGTTATTTACAAAATCGTAAATGATACCAAATTTTGTTTATCATTTTGACAACCCAGGTGTCAATGCCACATTACGCGCGCTCTTCCTTAGCTCTACAACTAGTTTATTTTAGAAAAAAAGGGAGAAAAAACTTTAGAATCAATAAAGGGATCAATCTTGAGTAGAATAGAACGAAGTTTGAGAATTTTCGCAGCAAACTGAAGCGATTTTTCTTCGGGTTTTGATTGCGTGCTTCGAGAGCGAAGTTGAAATGTTTTGGAATGAGAGTAATGGCTTGGGTGTTGAGCTAGCTTTTGTTCAATTCTCTGATATGATTCAAAACTAAAACTAGCGGTCACTTTTCTCATTTGATGCTACCCGCAAGTCGATAAAGAACCATTTTGGCGCCAATGAAGACAGCAAACCGTCACTGCGAGTAACAACAGTTGGTCTGCTGCACGAAACGAAATCATCGTAGCTTAAGTATAACGAAAAATTACACAGCAATCACCAAAAACACTGACTTCTATGTAGCATTAATTTTTTTCCCCAAATGCATTCCTCCCGACAGACAAACAGAATAAAAGAGAAAGAGAGAGGGGGCGCGAACGAGGGGTAGAGAGGAGAAAAATTCCTATCTACGAAGCGAGATCTAAAGTCAGTGGCTGAATTAAGATATTGGTTGAGATCGACATCTGTTTCGCATTGAAAATCCAATTTGAAAATATGGACACTCAAAACTATGGTTGAGACTAATTGTATAGTCAATTATATAATCGATTCCATTATGTTGGATCTTAGATATCCTCTTCAAACTCTCCCAAACGAACAAACAGAGATTTCAACAATAAGCCTCGGTTTTAAATATATATTTGAACACACATTAGTGGTCAAATAAAAGTTTTAAAACGTAGGGACTTCTCTGGGGTTTCTGTTTTGTTTTTTGTTGTTTTTTGTTGTTTTTGTTTTTTGTTTTTTTGAAACAAGTTTATCTTAGCATCAAGATTTTTATTCATTATTTTTCTTGTCGTATTAACTTCTTTTCCTAGGTAACAATTTTATTTTTCAATATAAAGGGAAAATACAAATATGATGGACCTCATAGCGGGGGAGTGCGTTTAATGAGATATTTTTTCATATTTTTTAACTGCTCCCTGCTGTTCCAACATTGGTATTTCTACGCTCGCGCAAACTGGGCACGTGGCAAACACAGACTTAACCCTATTAATCACCTTTCTTAACTAAGCATTTGGTAGATTCCAGATAAACACTGCGAGGTCAATTACAATCAAGGGCGGAAAACGTTTTTATGAGGAGCGACAGCTAGTGAACAAGACTCAACGAGACAGAAAAAAAAGCGCTTTCCCTTCGAAATGAAGAGAAACTCTAAGCGAGTTTTTATATCTATAGGCTCCTTAAATCTATTGTGAGATTCATTGGTTTTACTTTTACTTAGGTGAATCAGATACCTGTCCACCAGTTTTCTTTAGCAAGTGGCCTGACTTAAGTATTTTTAAAATAGACAATTTGCAAAGAAAACAAAAATATAAAACATGTAGACAATTCAAAAGCATTCATCCTTCATATAAATGACGCCTAAAAACTTTCTCCAAAAATTTCTCCAGAAAAATCCGATGACTTTCTAAAATTAACTCAATCAATTAACGGACTAATAGAATTCTTAAACTGAAGAATTTGGTTTGGAAGAGCCAATGCTAGAACTTCTACATAGACACGAAGGTAATTATCCCAAAATTCAACAAAATCAAAGCCAAACAAAAGCTGTACTTGAAAATAAACACGAACGACACTTTTTGACAAAATTTTGAGTAAACAGAACACAGCCCTGATAAGATTAGATTTACTTATTGAATTAAAACTTAATGTTGGTAGTAGTTCAAGGCTACAAGATAAGGATTTGTTTTGTCCATTCTATTATTATTTTCTTGAAAGAGATAATGTATAATAAAGCAAAAGATGGTAACAGCCAACCTAACAAAGCCCCCTTGCTATCAATTCAATTTTGTTTTGATGCTTTTTGATTAATGTTTTTTACTTGTTTCTGTCGTCTTGCCTCAGGCGATTCATGCCGGTATTCTAGTTCTCGTTAAGTACGCCTTAGTGCTTCATGGTATGCACCTGTAGGTGTCATTGAGAACCTTTACATCCACATGTGCTGTTATCATCTCAGAGCAAAGAACACCGGGTCAATAGCTTGATTAAATTAACTATAATTTTCACTGACAAGCTAATTTAATAGGCAATATCGCCTCGGGACATGTATACACGAGTTAGCATCTTATGCGTTGATACCTAAATAATCGTTTTAATATTTTTTCGTTAATTTTTCAAGGTGTGGTTTCAAAATCGACGAGCGAAACATCGAAAACAAGAACGTCAAAATCCCCGCGTTCCATTTCCATTCCACTCCGGAATTTTCTACCCCAACGAAACAGCGTACCCGCCTCTGATTCCAGCATATTATCCAGTGCCTCCAACAACGTGCCAGATAAGTTCACTCCCCGGCGTCAAATCATTACCCGACAGTCTGCGCTCAATCACCAACCCTGTGCGGTCACCCTGTGGTACGTGTGCACCGGGGAGTTTTTGCTGTGAGACTGGGACGAGACGGAAAATGTGGAGCCCACCATTAACAAGAAGATCTATATCTCCATTAAAGAGTTACATACATGATAAACCAGAATATCTCGAGCGAGAACCTTGGTCTAGCAAGAGCCTTGCACTTTTGAGAATGAGAGCTCAAACCTACAGCCGGGGCTATGGCGGCATTCCCAATTGCCATTCTTGATAACACATTTTCGTCATAAGACAAAACTGTAATCATTAGTAGGCATTTATCTTGCCTACTTCTAAGCTCAATAACCCGTGTAGCTCCGTTGCCTTTCTTTCTCCCGAGCGGACATGGGTGATAAGGAGTAGTTCATATGTTTTAAGAAATTCTGAAATAGTACCATCTGAAGAAAAAATGCGAGGCTGCAAAAGGTATTACAATGTACATAATATATGATTAATGTCCTGTAAATCTAATACAAAGGTGACAAACTGAGTTTGCTTTTTTTTGCTTGATAATTTTTTACTAGACTAAGCTTGATTCAAGAGCATATATTTATCAATCAGAAAGAAGAAAGAAAAAACAAAGCGCAAAGACAAGATTTATTCGTAGAGTTATCTTTAAAAATCTGAAGGGGAAAATTTGTAAAATTTAGCTGCAAAATCTTGTCAACGATTTGTAATGTGATTCAGAAATTCTCGTTTTCTAAACTAGTCTCCCCCACAGACGCTTTCAGTGTCGTCACGCAAAGCGTTACGTGACGACACTGAAAGCGGCTGTGGGGGAGACTACTTCTAAACCGGTCTTAAACTAGAATTTCCTGATCCTTCGAGCAACAAGAAAATCGCGTTTACTACTTTTGTATAAGAGATGTTTCAAAATAAAACAAATATTTCCATAAGTAAATAAATGACTCAAACATTTTAACAGAATCAAATATATAGTGTTTACTAAATAAACCACAAATTTTATATCCCATCCCTTGACAAGCTAAAAACGAAAATCAACGTTAATTCATATATTTAATGAAATATCAACAACTTTATTTACTTTTTCTATTTTGGGTTTTAAAATTTAAAAAAACAATCGCTAGCGATAATGTATTGTTTGCTTGGTTTTTAGCTGGTTTTTATTATTTGTAAATATTTTAAGTGTACGAGGCAAATACTCTGTAAAATTTTCCAAACAAAGTGTCGTTTTATTTGCAATTCTTTTGTCTTTTGTTTGTTCTTTGATTTTTCTATTTCTATTTGATCATGGGAAATTATTTTGTTACGTGGGAGAGGAAGGTGGGGCAAGCAGTTTTCTTAAAACTGTCTCTCTAGAAAGCATACCACATATCCGTAAAAACGTCGTAAAAAATTGAACAAATTAGTAAGCCCAGTAGACCTCAGTAGACCGTAGACCTAACTAATTTGTACATTTTTGTTAGAATACAGAACATGAGAAATACACCGTGCATGCGCATTAGAATCCTCAGCAGCGTCGCCAAAGGCGCACAAAACTGAAAATCTGTCAAGCAAAATAATTTCAAAAAGATTGTTAATGTTACTAATCAGAAATATAGTTTCTATTAAAGGTGAAGATAGCATTTATAACTAATTAAAATAATGATAATGTACATTGAGACGTTGTATAAATGCGCTATACCACAACCTCCCATCATTATTATTATTAAAGAATCCCAGTCAACTACAATGCACTGCGCCCACCCCTGTGTTATGTTTACATCGTTCGCCTACATCGTTCTCGAAGCTCTTCCATACACACTGGTCGAGTAAAATTCACTGTACCAATGTCCTCAAATTCCCAATTTTTTTCTTCATATTATTCCACACTTCCAGTGATTATCTTTGTGAAATTATGATTTTTCGGTCGTCCAATTGTTAGGCATCACAACTTTCGAAAACCTAGCCTTAGATTCGTTGCCAAAATTTCTCAAATCTCGCGAAAAGCTTAAAGTGACTATGTACCATCATAGCATRATGGTCATAACACATCTAGCAGGAATGACAAGACCGATGGAACTGGATTCCCAAACTTTACCTACAAAACCGCCATTTTGCTGAAAATGGCGCTTTGCTTAGCATTTCATTGTTTTCGGCGCGCAATGCATTGTAGTTGACTAGGATTCTTTAATTTCCTCTAATAATCTTCAACTGTCATATAATATTTCAAGATTCACGGACAGCTTAGTAATAAAAATTTCCTCGTTCAATCAAATCTTTTGTTTCAAGGTTTTCAAAAAGAGATTCCTCCTTATTCAAGTGTTGTATTCGACAAATCCATGCAGTCCTAACTAGTACCTGCAACTGTCATTTCTGCGCGAGTTATATGAAAACGTTATGACAAATTAAGGCTACAAATGAACAGGATAAACCTGGAGCGATGACTTTAACATTGGGTTAGTCGCCGCAGGGACAACGGAGTTGGGGGAGCCTCTCTCCCCCACTTTAAAATTACCTCCACCGTCCTGCGCTGTACTGTTCACATCGAAAGAGATGCCGCTAAGTCGCAGTCGTTTTTTTCATCTCCAAATCACTAGTATCAACACCAGCTGCACGTAGTAATGAGGATAATCTAGAGATATCCGTTGTATTGTACTCTTTCTCTCCACTCGCCAACAGCTGTTTCTTTATGTTCTCAAAAAAGTACTTTTTCTGCGGCAGGTGTTGTGTGGCTAGAACCTGTAAAATCGCTAAAAGGTCCTCCGGTTGAAAAGCCGGTATACCTCGAGAAATAACTTCTTCGCCAATCCACGTGATTAAATCCATCGTGTCAAAACTGATGGCGGAAAACGAACGCGCCAGGGAAGACAAATACATCGCACCAAAATGGCGGGAATTTCGAGACATGATTTCATCACGAAATAGACTGTAAGTATCTTCATGCAATTCTTTCGCCTTCGTCAGCGCAACCGTTGCCATAGTAATTTGAGCGACTGAAAACTCCCCCAGACCTCGTCGGAGAAGTTCCTTCCTCAAGATGTTAAAAACGAAGGCTGTGTTAAGCTTAGATTTAATCTTAGAGAAACCCCAGAGAATACGACAAATATCTGCGAGCATGTAGTCTTGGAAGGGTCGCTTACTCACTTCTTTTTCTAGTCTTTCAAATACTTGAGTTGAATGTACATTATCGAGAAGCTCACCCAAAGACCACACCAACAGGGCAAGCTGTCTATTGTCAAAAGTATCTAATGGAGTTCCCAAAATCTTTCTTTCAATTGATTTCATGAGGTCGTCAACACTCACAACATCTCTTACAACTGCAAACGCGTAAAGAATCTGGCACAAAGCAGTGTTGCTACAGTCTGACAGTCCTCTTTTAGAGATTTCTTTCCGAAGAAGTACAAAGAGGTCCTCGTGCGTCGCATTAGTTGCAGCAAATGACCAAACAAGCAGCGCGAGTTGTCGTATACCAAGTTTTGAGACATCATAATTGTCTACGATCTCATTACCAAGAAATTTAGTAAGATCTTTCATATCTATTTTCTCTCTCAGTTTTGCCAATCCCCATATGATCTGACTGAGATTCACTGCGCTTAAATCCTTGATATCTCTAGTGAAGGATTCTTTCTTGAATGAAAGTATCAAAGCATTAGATCCAAGGCTCATCTCTGCAAATGCCCAGATTATTGTCGCTAGCTCACTATCATTGAATCCAGAGAATCCACGGTGCACAAGTTCTTTGTCGACCATCGCGAAAAAAGGATGCGAGTTTATTTTTGTTTTTACTTTGGCAAAACAGCGCAAAAATGTCGCTATGTCATCAGGGCTTAACTTTCTGACATTGCGTTTCAAGGCCACATTCCTCAATAAAGTAAATAATTTCTTTGAAAAATAATTCATCTCCAGCAAAGACCATAAAAGAACAGCTAAACCTCGGTCATCCAGTCGTTTGATACCTCTTCGAAGAAACTCTTTTTCAATCTGGTTTAACAGGTCTGACAGGTTAAGCGAGTATTTTTCTTTCACTTTGGAAAATGACCAAAGAATTTGGCACAATTCTGCTGAACTAAATGCTCGAATATCCCTGCTTAAGACATCTCTTATGATAACCTTGTAAAAGTCTGACTTACCTTGATCAGCATCTGCAATTCCCAACAGAATAGGAGGAATTTCAATGCTCATAAATGTTACAAAACCACGGCACAGGATTTCATCCACCATTGATTTGAACAGTTCACAAGAATCAATACTTGATTTCAGTTTTGCAAAACACTGCACAATTTGACTAATTTCTTCAGAAGTATACTCCTTAACTTCTTGTCTAAGAATGGCATATTTTAGTTCATTGAAAAGTTTCACTCTCCCTTGCTTTGTTTCAACAAAACTCGACAGGATTGTCACCAGGTGTTTTCTCTGAAGTCCAGTCAAACCATTCTTTAGGATTAAATTTTGAATGTTATCAAAGAGAATCTTCCCATCTTCCGGCAAAAGCATATCATTGTTCTGTGATCTTTTATCTGGGTAAATATCAACCTCACATTTGTTGATGAACAACTTTTGTCTTTTGGATATTTTTCCAATAGCTTTCAAGACAATAATAATATTCTCTTTCAAGTCATTAGAGAATTCTATTGACTTGTTAATGTCATTTAATAAAGTTACATAGTGTTTTTGTGATGTCGGTTCATTTAGCAACACCAGACTTTGTTTTGCACTTTTTTCTGTACTTCGAGCAATATTGTTAAGCACTACAATTGGATCCAAGCTGTTTTCTGTATCTCGAGAGCTYATATAGTTATTTAACAGTTCCTCAACTGTTTGTTGTTTTGCGCTTGATATTTTTTGATTTTCTCTCTTATTTACAGAATTACTTTGAACACTTTTGGAGTATTCTGTACTCTTTCCAGACATAGTACTGTAATTAACAGATACATAAATGGGCTTCCATACTGTTTTTGAAGATATACATGTAGCTCCATGTAAAGATCTAGCTGGGAACCCTGTGGTGTATAGAGTTAACTTTCTTGGGTGATGCAGCACATATCTTCTCATAAGCCATGTAAATGACAGTAGTCTTGACATTACAAGATCTTGAGATTATCCTCTTACTCTATTCAGTTAAGCGTATCCTGTAAAGACACAATATATCAAATATCAAAGTTAATGCTGAGGATATTATCAACTAAAATAAAAGATAAATAAAACCACACAAAAACATCTTTGGGTATTTGGAGACGTTCTTTAATTAAGCTTATATTTCTTTCCCTGGGTCAGAGTAGGTCCCTACAGATGGTATTCAAATACAGAAAATTCAAAAATCTAAATTAAGATCTCACAGTATTATATATATATTTATTCATTCATTGCTATTTAATGGGAAAAAAAGAAAAGAGAACTAATTTCAATTAGTGAATGACTGCAATTCTTAAAAGATATCGATAAAAAGCTATTAGCTTGTAATAAGAAATAAAAACCTAATTCATTAAAAACAGATCAAAGTAATTCCTCTCAAAACAAAACAAAAAACGAGTCAGTGTTTTTGTTTATCATATTGTGTGCAGAAAGTTTTTTACATTATTTTAAACTTACCTCGAGTCTGGATAAACTTTTCAGTCCAACGATGATGCTTCGTCCGCCATATTGGATTACGAGCCCATGGTAATAAATGTCAGCGGAAAGGATACTAGATTTCCTCGGCCAATACCAACACAGGAAGCTCAACTCATCATTTACCACACTCAGTAATATTTGCACTTTATTTAAAACGACAGAATTGACAGAATTCCAATTGATTTTCTTTTTAACTTAGGATGTTTAAATTGACGTCCAAAGACCCAGCCAGTGTTTGCAGTCGCGCGTGCGCAGTCTAGTGCAGTTTTCGTATGACTGTGAAAAGCTCAGTGCCGTAAGCGTGACGTGCCGTGACCGTGATACTTTCTAGAATTTTAATTGGCTGATTTTTTTCACGCTCAATATGATTGGTCTAAAAGTGCCGTGATCTTGGAGTGACCGTGTCCGCGCCGTGTTTATGCCGTGTTCCGGGTATTTGATTGGATGGAGAGTAAATTCTCGTGTAATGTGATTGGTCTGGCGTATCCCTTGCTGTATCACGACCGTGTTCGTTCCGTGAACTTTTCACAGCCATACGAAAACTGCACTAAACCTGAATAGTGCTAAATGATTTTATCCAACAATTAAACTGAAAACAGAAAATACGTATAATTTATTGATACTGACATCTTTAATACATTTTCATCTTACGTACAATAATCTACAGTCCCACTTTCCTTTATTTTATAAAATTTTTGTTGTTTGTACATATAGAGCAGATTTCTATCAAAGAAACGCTACTACCCCTCTATTACTGCACTATGACTTGACTGATTGAAATTAAAAGTATACTGGGTAATTCATATTAAATCTTCTTTTTTCTAAGAAGAATATTGAATCAGGGCATTATATTTGCCCTCCAACTTATCGCCTATTATTTTTTTCCTAGTGCGATATTCTAAGTCGTGAGTTTTGATTGGCTGCACGAGCCGGCTTTATTACCTATCCCTGATCCAGGTTCGGTTTCCTGGGATTACGGATTGCTAAACGATTAAAAAAGTTGCGAGACAAATCGAAAAGTGGGAGAAAATAAATAAGTTATATACCGCGGCCTTGAGTCGATCCATATAGGAAAAAACTGTGCCCTCGCCTTCGAAACGGACCTCAGTCGAACAGCCTTGCTTCGTAATTTAAAATACCTTTTCGGGCAGCTTTTTTCCTATCCGGACCTCCTTGACAGTAAATAACATCTATTTATTTTAAAAAATTGCTTGACAATATAAATACGCTCAAAGTCAATATTATTTGAAGGTATTTGGGGCATTTTTTCTGAATGAACACTTACAGCTTTTGTGGTATGAAGATTCGTCTTTGCACAAAAAAATAAAATTCACTAACTTGTTTGCATCCTTACGTGTTTTTATGTAAAATTGTGTTTTTACAATTGATTTCTATGTACAATTCTCTTGTTCATTCATTCAACGTATACACGACTCGTGATGAACTGCGCATGCGCGGATTTAACAATATAACAAAAAACTATGCAAACAGAATGCGCATACAACCGCAAGGTGCCGATTACTAAACTAATAGGTGTATTGCACGACCACAAGGCAGCAGCCATGTTGGATAGCAAAGGAATTGAATTTTTCTAGGTAGAGATCCTATTAAATATGACAAAAGAATTCGTTTTTCAAGCAGAGATACATATATTCTGTCATCCAGCATGGCTGCTGTTGAATGATCGCACAAAGCGCGCATTGATATCAGCTCCACCCGAAGCAATGCATTATGGGATACCTTTAGAAAAGTCTCCTTCAGTAAAAATCCTACAATGCGTTGCGCGAAACCACGCATCCGCACGTGACGTAAATACTTTTTAAGCGCTATTAACAATGAAGCGGAAAGACTTACATCCAAAATTTACTCTACCAGGATAAAGCGCAGATGAAGTCTGATCTACTGACTGCGTCAAAATATATTGGCATGGAACACACTTTTTATCACCCTTATCCATAAATAAAAAAGAAACAAAAATATTAATGGTTATCAGAACGCCATTTTTCTGTAGCTTCTCTCCTGGCGTCGGGTAGTATTTGGTTCCGTACTCCTCCAATGACATTAGAAGTGGCTTCTGTTGCTAGTATAAATGGTTGTACTATAGTAGCAGGGACTTGTCTCAGGACACCGCCTACTACTCCTGTCATACCCTTTTGTTCGTGTTCTTCACGCGCTACTTTGACGATATTTGTAGCTGTGTGGTTGAGACCCTTGAGGAGTGAAAAACAAACACAAAAAACTACATAAATGAAACAACACTGGCAATTCATCCTTCAGAAATACTGCTCCAGTTTTGTGTTTCCTGTTTCTCAAGGTTAGGCTTTTGTGTAGTATTAATATTTTCATGTGTCGGTCCGTGGAATTTCAAGAAAATAATTTTCTGAAAAAAATAAAACTGTCATCGAAGAAAGGAGCGGAATTTTACGCGTAAAAAGACTATTCAAACAAAGACTAGCGACGACCTTTTGATGCTAAGGAATGTGTAATAAATATAAGAACACAAGGTGGCGAAGTTTATTTTCTTAGTCCCACAAGCCTTCCTGGTTCGAGGACACGTTACCTTGACAACCATAAAACTACGTAATGTTACCTTAGCGACCACGTGGTAAGCATTCGTGACTCCCTCCCGCAGGTCAGCAGGCTGATGTGCTAAGCGATGACGACCACGATTACTTGGTGAGACACTGGGGCCGGGACTGACCATATCGTATGCGGTTTCGGCCGCAGTCTGAGGGGAGAGGATTTAATTAATACATACAATTAGCTCAGCAAAAAATATGTTTATCTTGAGAAGAGATACCACAAAGATAAGAGTTGTACCAAAAATAATGTTTATAGCTACCAAACTATTGTGATGCGCGAAGATGCCTTATGGTTTATAGACTTCACAGTAGCTTCTAATTTTGTTTTTTATTTTATTTTATTTTATTTTATTTTTTCATTGGGATTTTTATTAATCACACCATCCTTTTTTGATTACATCCTGTTCTTTGGTTCTGTTCTAAAGTCATTCGTGAACCAAGATGGCAGAAGATCTATAGACTGTCTAACAAACCTGCAGTCCTCATTCCATAATAAAATTGGAATTTAGAAAATTACTTGTGCAAAAGGAAGAAAACTAGATCGCTATATAGTCATTGACATTGCTTTTACCTAAAATGTTATCCAGCAATGGTTATCTAATTTACCTGGACAACGTGTACAGCCCTGTTAGTCAGCTCTAAGAAAGCCATAGCAGATGAAGTAGTAAAGGAGTTAGCACCTCTCTGTAAACCACGCATAACCCGTCCATCTCGTCTATACTGTTCGATAGGCATCCACACCAGGTCTACCATGCCCTGGAACAACTGAACGAATGAATGAACGGGTCCTACACCGCCGAGGATGCTAGGTAGTTGGGTACGTTTAATGTCATTTAACCATTCTGATAGCGCGTAGTTAATGACGCGGTCGAATCCAAGGAGGCCATTTCGGCAGGAGAGTCGTTTGAGGGTTAACTCTGAACAGTTCAGCTGGGCGAGCCCGATTAAAAGACCAGCAAACGTACCCTGGAGAATAATAAGTTAGATCAGATTTTGAGAGTGACTTTTTTCGCAACATGCCGCATATTGGCACGGTAACGGTCACAATACATATTCAGAGACATTTGTAGAACCAATCACAGAGAGTAAAATATATGCCTATCGAATCATAGCGCTCGTACTCGGCGCTGTCGGATTCGAGACACGGCACGGTACAGCACCGCACTGCCGTACTTTGCGTTTTCACAAAGCAACCTGTGTCTCTTAGAAAAACAAGACGAAAAAAAAATACAACACTACCTGATCCATATCCACGTGCTTTCCCTGATAATCAAGTCTTATCGGTACTTCCGGTGAGAATATAAAAGATCTAAAAAACGTAGGAGCATGAGGAGAGTTAGAAGATTCGTCTCCAGTCTCCTGTGGTGGTAACGAGACGCTCAGCATCTCTTCGCAGTCAGGTGACATGAGGTCTGGTGACGACCCTAGAAGGGAACTACTCAAAGGTTTTGCTTGCTTGATGGGACTAGAATCCACGCTATTAGAACCTGGCGGAAAAAATAATAACATTCACTTATAGTAATACACAACACATACACACAGGGAGCCCAAATAAGCCGTCTTATCGCCGCCATGTTAAATATTTGCCAAAAGACTTCTTGTCTTCTTTTTAACTCCAACATGGCCTCCATCTCTTTTCGTTCTTTATGGGGTGGCTTGCCAAATAGCAATAGCACAGCTGAACAAAATTTCTCGTTTTCAAACAATCTGGGCTCTCACCTTTAGAGGTTTTGGACGCCTCACCAGATATTTCAGTGAAGAAGTCCCTCAGAAAGAAGAGAGCATCCTGCAAAAATAAAACAAAAGATTGACCAAGATTCTTCCAGCGATATGGTAAAGGCTTTTAATACATTCCTACCTGGTCTACGTTCAGTCGCAGAGGTTGAACAGAAATACGCAGACAACACTCTTGCGCCTTTAGTTCAGGGTCAGGCCTCATGTACAGCATTTTGAAAGTGATCTGAAACAAACCAAATTATTGACCAATGGTTGTGAGTTTGAACTCAATCATGTACTCGAGCCGGCGTTCCTCCTGGTCAGCACTGAGGAATGGTAACTGCTGACCATGAGCAACATTTATATGAATACGCATGCGCAATAAATAGTAAGTAAAGTAGATTACCATATTAGCGTTGGTTTGTTTTGGCCTGGCCTCAGACGCGTACTGATACAGGAACTTATTGATCTGCGAATGCGCCAGTCTGTCGCGTACTTCAACCTCTTGTGCCAACACAACAAGACGTGAGGCCTGTTCTGTGTCTTCTGGGTATTCTTCAAACTGGAATCGGATCTACAAACAATTCCACATAACATGTAAAGGACTTCATATTATGATGGTCGCTAATGATCTAAAGCATGGGTTCTTGTTTACCCAAATTTGCCCAGTCCCCGTGCGCCAAAAAAGTACCCAAACCCCCGCAACACTCTTTTCAAGGACTATTGTAAAAACTTGTTTACCCAAAAGTTGCCCAGTCACCGTGCGCCAAAAAAGTACCCAAACCCCCGCAATGCTCTTTTCAAGGGCTATTGTTTGAAGTGTCGAACCTTGTTGAGGTGAAGTTCCATTAAGATGTCAGTCTGTCTTCCAGCTCCACCACGTGATCTTGATGCTGCTGATGCCTTTGGGCTACCTGTGGTGGTGGGTAGCCGTGTAGGAGGCCTGACATCCGACGCAAACGTTATCCTGCAAAGCGAAACAAAAGTTGTTTTATTTATTCTTTTTTTTTCATATAAGAATGATTCGATTAAATTGCTTCAGTAAGCCTGAAGCGAGATGACGTTTTACCTCCGACTCTATACCATAATAGTTTTTAAAAGTCTTTAAAAGTTTGATTCCTTAGAGAATACAGGAACAATAGTCATAATTAAAGAACAAAAGCAGTGTGAAAAGGATTATGGTCTAGAGACGGGGGTAAAACGTCATCTCGCTTCAGGCTTATTCTCTGAGAAATTAAAACCCTATTTATCTTACTKGTGAAGAAAGAAATGATACTCAATAAAAGATAACTTATTAATGGATTTGAGTACCGCTTTTTCTTGTTGTCTTTATCGTCACTGTGATGTCCAAGATCGCATCCTCCATACATCTGCCATACTATCGACATCTCACGCAAGCAGTAACGAAACACCGCTGCTGGGTAATGATCGGGGGCGCCAAGCTGATCGCTACGTCCGATCTGGAAACAAGAGTTAAGCAATAAATGATACCTATTCAAGAGTTAAATAGTTACATAGCGATAAATATAGCTTTTGATAGTAACTTTTAACACTTTCAAAACTGTTACTGTTTATCAGAGGTCCCAAAACTCAACCTGAGGAACACCCTTTACTATACTCACGGTAATAGAAAAATGATTCTCTACAATTTTGATGTCACTTTCAGTTAACGTCTTGATCACCACGTCATCTGTCAAGCCCTAATCAAAGACAGATGAATCAATTAGAACACAGAGCCCGGTTTTACATAGGGTGGATAGCGCTATCTGATGGATAAATCCTTATCCAGTGAATAAGTCGATGCTGTTCTCCAATAAATTTTCGACATTATAGCATTTGATAGTCGGATTGCGCTATCAAAACCCCTCATACAACTTGGCCCAGAAGTATATCACCAAACAGAATTCTTGTAGTAACTACAACCGACGTCATAGCCGCCATGTTGTACCTCGGGTTCCCTATCAGGATGGTCCAATATACAGAAATCGTCGTCACTCTCAGCTTCTTCTTCTGTCTGTTGGTTCAGTGACTCGTCGATGGCTAATCCTTCCATAGCATCAGTTACTTCGTCTCTTATTTCAGGCTTGTCGTCCGGGAACAAGAAGAGTTCTCTCTTAGGAGACTTTGCTTGCGGTGGGTGCGATGCGTCTACTTTACTTTCCTAGGAAAAAAGACAGCAGATTTCGTGTGAGTGTGAGAAATCGCGTTTACGACACGACACGGTCAAGGTAGAGAAGCTTGCACGACTGCGAAACTGCACGGTTACGAACCAAAGTAATGACATCGGTTGGGTCAGGCATAGAACGAGATATTTACTGCTCATCTATTCAAAATATCATGTCTTGTCACGGAACCGTGGTTATGTCACGACGGTCATGTCACGCAACCGTCACGATCATGTCACGCCAACGTCAAGATAATGTGACAGTTAAGGCAAGGTACAGTACGGCACGTACCCTGAGTTTTTCAGAGTAATGAAATCTGCTCTACAGAAGAATATGAATCAAAGCGGGTTGGGTTATTTTTCATCCAATCAAATCCTCGTACACGGCACGGTGTTGGTATCCGCGCCACGCCTACTTGTAAAAATCGAATTTTTTTTTTTTATATATTTAAAAATACTGAACTGCGGATCTTCTATATATATATATATATATATATACTAGAACTAGATAGATAACCTTGTATGAATCTTCTCCATTAGTCAAGTCATCATCCATAGCTTCACGCATCAATGAGCTCATCTTCCCTTCGTCCAGGGATCCCTGTTCTACTGGCAGATCAGAAGAGCAGCGACTCGGGGTCTAAAATACAATAAAAATACTTTGAAAACTACAGTAAAATAGAAATCAATCAATGTTGTCCCAGGGCAAAGGGGTTACTCCTTCCCAGCCCTCCTTGAGGAAGTTTCTTCTGGATACCACTGCTTTGGTTTTCCCATTTCATTACACACGTCATTCCCTTGAGCATGTTTTTTTATTAACCAGTAACGCTTGAGAAAATACAATAATATGAATATGTTATTCTCAGGCGAATAACACACGAATGGCGTCACTCACGTAGCTATCATCGCTATCGTCACTATCGGCCGTCGTCCTAAAGTGGATTAAGTTTATTGAAGATAAAGTTGACCCATATATATTATTTCACGACATCAGCTCCATGTTGGGCTCTAACGTTCCCCTTCCACCCCACTACCCCTCCCTCCC